AAAGTTTTGTTGGCCAGCATCTCCTACTCTTGCATAGTTTGTCCTAGGCTGAGTTAGCTGCATTAGCCCAGAAGCTATCTTGGATCATCATTTATGGGGAGACACTCTCCAATATAGCAAGGTCCTGAGCTGTTGATGGTCTTAACCATTAAGACCAGGGCCTTCAATTAGCACAAAAGAAAATTAATCATGAACTTGTGTAGGGTGTAGTTCTCTCATCAGTTCATCTTTAAAGGACATGATCGACTATGCCCATTACAAGCTGCAGTCACTTTAGGTATGTCTACACCACAGCAGTGGTGAGTCCAAGTGTGCCCTAGCTACACACTTCTGCACAAGCTCTGCACTGGTAATGCTGCTTTTAGTTACCCAGTCTTCCATGCTTCTGCCTGTTTGACCCTTCATTATCTTTTTCTCTTTCTGGTTCAATGCAACCAGCTCCTGGCAGTACTGTCCACATTACTGAACATTTCTGCATATGAGAATACAGCTTTGGTTTTTTTATGTGTATTTGACACTAATCTGGAAGTTCCTATTTACAGAGATACTCTTCAGTGGGTGCATCTGCACGTTTATAAATGCATTGTAGTTACTGCATTTTCAGTTAATACTTCATTAAGGAAGTTTAGTACTTCCTTAATGAAGTATTAACTGAAAATGCAGTAACTACATTTACTGCACAGTACCACCAGCACATGGTTTTTTTGTGATGCTTACTGCACAGTAGCCTAATAACACTGCAACAGCATATTAGCACAGTTTTTGACTGGCACACTACTGCGCAGCGTTATTAGGCTACCGCACAGTAAACGTCTCGTGTAGATGTGCCCAATGACTTAGTAATTTTTATTCTAAGTAGTAAAATTCCTGTATTAATTCAGGTTGGATTTTTCTTCCTTCGAGTTGTTGCATACTCAAAATATAGATTTGTTGGGGGCGGGAGAGAGCAGAAGTATTGCTTGGGAATATACTTGCTTCTCTTGGCTTTTATACAGGGGTCTGGTGCTCTAGAAAATTCTTGTCCACAAGCAAACTATGATTGCTTAAGGGGTGGGACCATATCAATTATAATGCCCAGATTAATGGATATTGCATTGTTACAGAACTATTGCACAGGTAAGAAATTTGAGCAAGAACCATTCTGCTTTGCCTATTATGCATAGGCCAATGTAACAGACAATCTCTAGAAATAAATCTGAGTAGTAATTTGAATTTATGTTTTCTCTGTGTATAGCACCAGAGTAACCTACTGCAATTCTTGCAGGTTTATCACAAGCTTGGAAAAACAAATTTATACATTTTAAAGGAATTTGATATTGATTTAGAGAGGAATGAAGTATATAGAACCTGTGATTTGACTTGTTTCTCAAGGTGAAATTAAATAAAAAAGATCTACACAGTATTTTTTTTCCTTTCATCTTAAAGAGGGAAAAAAGTTCAGGTAGTGGTTTAAATAATCCTCAAGACCTTGGCAGGCAGTTCTGGCCAGTATTAAATGGAGACTGAGGCATGTACATGAAATGGGTGGTTCTGTACATCCTGAAAATGTGTAATGCTGAATATCTGCTGTATAATAGCATTTTTGTTTTCAGTGCAGTGAGTCACTGTTTTTACTGGATAATGAAATTACAGCCCATTCCAAGAGAATAATTTTTTTATGGACAATTTGTAGGCTCTGCACTCAAAGTAAAATTTTTAAACTCTAAAAATTCCTACAAGGAATTAACTGCACTGGAACGTGACTTAAATCAATATTTCTTCAAACAAAAGTTAGTTATTGTACCTAGACTAATTCTGTACACATTCAGTAATAGAAAATATATTTTATCTTTCTTAGTCCTGAATTTGCACAGCCAGTGGCCCACTGTGACTTGAGTGTAGCCAGTACTGTAGCTGTTCCGAAAGGTATTTTACCTTAAACTTCAAATTAACAGAGAGCTTCCTCTCTCCTCCCCCCATTTCTCTCACATCTCTGTTATGGATATAGTGCAGTCTGAACTTGTTGCACAACATCAGAATTGTTTCCACTGGGAGTGGGAGGGAACTGACTAAAACCTCCACAAAACTTCTGGGTTTGACTTTACAATTAACTTGAATATTCTCTATATGAAAGTTGACGAAAATTTTACAAATCCATTTAGCTAGTAGTTATTTTACTAGTATTTTACTGGTTATCAAGTAAATAAATTAAGAAGAAAGGAGTGTTTCAGTAGAATGGAGTGGGCATATGAATTGGTTCTAAGATCTCCCTATGGGGTGCTCAATAATGCACCAGAGAAGGAGGCAAGTAGCAGTGCTCCCTGAGCTCTAAAACAGACTGTTTGGCGGGTGAACCACATGATGAGTGAGGAGGGGGAATTGGAAAACCATGTGTGTTTTGATCCTCTTACATGGATGGAAACTGAAAAACCCTCCTGCAGAGACAAGAAGCAAGGAAGTCAGAAAACTGAAGGCTCTTGAGCCCCCTCTCTTTCCTGCCCCAGGAATTGATGAATATGGATATAGTTTTCAAAATGTAAGACAAATAAAATTAGAAGAAAAAAAAAAAAAGAAAAAGACTGAGCCTTTGCCACCCACTCATATTTAACTTAATAATGAAATTATCAGAATTGGTCTCAGGAACTTTAAACATTGGTTATGTGCCAGTTATTGGGTTCATTCCAAATAAAACTGTTTCTCTTCTAGTACTCCATAACTCCAGTACTCATTTTAACTGAAACAGAATAGCTGAACAGCTTAACAAAACCCAAATGGTCATAGACACTTCTTTTCAATCATGTGGTCCTCTGTATCTCCTTCATCTCTCCAACATGCTCTCAAACACACTGTGCCATATTTTGATACCATCAAGAATTACCAAACTCTTTTAGTGGTTCCACTGAAGTTGCTTACAGAGTAAGATACTGCTCAATGTCAGTAACATTATTAGAGTCTGTCTCAATATTGTTTGGGGTCCATTTCCAGCCTGTGCTTGTTACAGTATCACATATCAATCACTGAAACCTCTCCATGTTTGCAAATAATAGTTTAAGAGAATTAAAAAAAAACCCTGCTCTCTTTTTTGCAGCTGACATGCTTTCTTTCTCCCTCCCCCCCTGCCCTATTTAAAAAAAAAAAAAATAGAAAAAAAGAAAAAGGAAAAGAAAAAAACCCTAATTCAAGAATATGAAAACCAGGAAGTTCTAAAACCAAAATGTAATATGAGCAAACTAGTAGGTTCTCTGAACCTCTTCAAACCTAAGAAAAAGAATCAATTGGAGTGTAGAGTGGGTTGACTTAATTTTACCCAAATCAGCTTGCATCAACTAACTTTTTCCTAATGTCCATATTTAAATTCTGTAATTTGCTGCACCTGGGATAATCTTCTATTTATATTCAGGCAAAAAGTGCATTTTATTATTCCAAAGGGGAGAATAGTGAGTAATTTCTGCAGTCTTTAAATGCCAGGAGCCCTAACACACCTATGTCAATATGATTGGGTTAAACCATACAAGCAGAGTTTGGACATGTTACAGAAAGATTTATCACCAACACTTCTAACTAAAATGATGTGTGCCCTTATTTTGTCCACGCATTGATTCTAAATCATCTAAATTTTTAAACGGATTTGCTTTATATGCAAAGACATCCATGATGTTCCCCTTTGATGTTAAGAAATAAGTGCTGGAACAGAAATTCTCATGACAAATCCAAAAACTACAATTTTAGTTGTATGTGCTGCCTTCCCGAATAAAATTTTAGGAGTTTTTTCAGTGTGCCTGTTCTAAACCTAGTCCTTTATTCAGAGTTTTAAAAAGCTTATTAGTGACTCTACATTGATATTTGAGACCTCTAAATAAGTATTCCTGAATATCATGGCTGATTTGGTCTCAGTGTTGCCTGTTGGTGATTTTGTTTGAAGGAGATGCCTGAAATTCCTCTTTATTTGCTTGTAAAGCAGTTTTGTGTACATTCAGCCTGTTTTGTGTAAATGATTAGATTAATGCAGCTGAATTAACATTCAGCCTGTTTTGTGTAAATGATTAGATGAATGCAGCTGAATTCCAGCCACAAAATGGGTGAATTGAATTTCAAAACCATTGCGGAGCATTTTTAATTTTTACTAGGAAAAAAGCTTGGATTAATGGTATATACTAAAAAGAGCTAAACCCCACAAATATGATTATTTTCAAACATTAAATATTCAAAAATCTGCAAGGAGAACTTTTTGACTACCAAATTCAAACATGTTCAAGAGAGAATCCTCTGTAAAAATACATTTAAAACAATTTATGAAAAACTTGTCAACCCATGCAGCTCAGGAATTTTTTTCCATGTGATCCAACATTTTCTTGTTACTCTTGCAGCCATCAAAAGAGATGGAGAAACCATGATTAAAGCATAGCTACCCCGACAGCAAAGTTCTTTTTGAATTATATATTTTCACTGTAGCTCCAGGACTTCCTGGTTTTTGGGGGACTTGAAATAGTGAAATACTACAGGACAGGCTTTTTCAGTGGTATTTCCGGCTCAGCTAAAATCAGGAAGTAGTGGAGCTCTCAAGAGAGTGCCTGATTTTGTGAGGTTTCCAAACCAGAAAGGTTTGGATAAGTTCAGATAAAGCTTGGATAAGCATCCAAACTTTGGAAAGCCAAACATCAATGACAGACCTTTTGAGGTTCACCATTGCTAGTTTTTATAGAGTGGCGAGAGATGGTCAAGACTGATTTAGAGAGTCTGGGTTTAAAACATATCTAGCCAACAACATATCAGAGGGGAATTAGGAGACAATTTTCCTTTTTTGGAGGTTTAGTTTAATTCTTAATTTATATTGAGTAGAAGGAACACTGGTTTCTTTAGTCTTAAAGGAGAGTTGGTCAGACTTATTGCGACTTTAGGTGTGTCTACACTGCCATCTTCTGGTATAAACAATGCTAAACAAAGGTTGTTTTTTTTAATATCTTTCCTAACACACTGGGGTGTATTAAAATAGAATATCTTTTTAATTATTTTTTCAACAGGAATGTGATCAAGTTCACATAGATGATGTTTCCTCTGATGACAATGGGCAAGACCTAAGGTAAGCTGTATTTTTTTTCTCTTCATAATTTTATTTTCTGTAAAGATTAAACTTCAGCTTTTAAAGGAATACATTGTATTTATTTTTAATATATTTTGGGTGTTTGCAGTACCTACAGTTTTGCAACTGATGGCTTCCATGCAGCTGCAAGTAGTGCAAACCTTTGTCTGCCAACAGGTGTGAGAGGAGGGGTGGACTGGATGAGGAAGCTGGCTTTCCGTTACAGAAGAGTAAAAGAATTGTATAATACTTACAAGAACAATATAGGAGGTGAGTTTAAAGAGTTTATGCTGAAAACAAGTTAAAATACCCATCCCATTACACTTGAAGGAGTATTAGAGGACACCAAACAATCATATTCCAATCTACCATGGGTTGTTACTTGAAAAGGGGCATGGGTGCTAGTGCTTGGGAGCCCACGTCAACTGTTATATGGTAACCGTTATCTTGACATGCTCTTGTAGTGATACAAAATGAGCTAAATACTGTACGTTTAACCGAGATATTACCCCTGGTTAAACCAGGTTGCATTATGCTTATATCCCCATAGAAACATGCAGATGTAACACTTAAACATCGGACAGTTGCCAATCAACCACATTTCATAACCTCACAGGGGTCTGTCGTATTCAAATAGTTGTTTGGTGCTCTATGTAGACTCTATGGTAATTTACCAGTGCCAAATTAATATGCCTGGGAAACCTCCCTGTGAATAATAAAGTAATTGGAATTAGTTCTATTAAAGTGTAACATAAGTGACTGATCTGGGGATGTGCTGCTGTGCAAGAGGATTGGATTCCCCCTGTCTGTGACTGAGGGAATCTCGAACATGGTGGGAACAGAATACCTAAAGTGAAATCCTGGCCAGATGGAAGTAAAAGGCTGCATTCAAGGAGATTTCTGTGAGACTAGAGTTTTTTGCTTGAGTCCTAGTTTGGACTCAGTAACAAAATTCTCGCTGACTTAATGTCTGTGCCAGCCATTTACTTTAAGCTATTCCTTGAGGTCGGGTATCTTCCTTCATGTACCTGTCAGGCTTTTTCATTTGATTTTCACCGGCCTTTTTCATCATCCTGCTATTTTGTTGACCTGACTAGTCACTATACTCAACCTTCCAAATTCTGTTGAAAGTTTCTGCAAGCAGGCACCTCATTTGACTGATTCTGTGATAACAGATCCAGAAAAGGTTTTCCAGTCCTGTCGCTGTTATACCACTAGCTGATTCATTACTTCTGTGGCGGGCATGTCCTGAAGAATCAGTAGCAAACTTACCTACACACAATGAAGGCTTTTATACTATGGTTTACTCTGCTGGATATCTTAGTAATTTTAAAGTGCCACTAACAGGAGTAGAATTGAAGGAGTCGTTCTGAGTCCTACAGCTGTGAGAAAAGGTTGGATCAGTCCAGAACATTCCTCTAGGATTTAGATGGCCAGGCAACCTACCTCTGAAGAGACAGGAGAACTGCATGTCAGACAGAACATGGAGGGAGCTAGGGGGTGGACATCTTCAGATCTTCACTCCCTTTCCAAGTCCACACACAATCGAGGTGGGGAGGGGCTCAGGGGCTCCTTCGTGGGAAGAGGTCCCAGTGAGCACTCCAGTGTTTCTCCAAAGTAATTTGGCATAAGTTCAGAAAAGCCTAAGTCTCGGTTCCTTGTAACAAAAATGTAAGGGTTGTAGTCTTGCTTTGGCAAGTCCAGCTATCAGCAATAGGAATCGTGAGTTATGATGACACGAGTTTCAGTCCCCATAGTAAACATTTTATTGAAAATGGAACCAACTAATATCTTTCCATTTTTATTAGCTAAGATTCTTTACTTGCAGAGAGATTAAGTGAGTTAAACTATCTAACAAGTAAATGATAATCCCCTAAGAAACTGTCCTCCCTGGAGAGTCGTATTGCTGTTATGAAATGGGATCTTTAGACATTAAAAATACAGCAAAACTATCTGATCTACAGATTTACTGGGCATTCTCAGAAAAGCTCCTAATGTGTCTAGAATTTTAAAGCCACCATATTTCATGAAAAGATATTGAAATAACAAGAGTCACCGTGAGGGTGAAATGTGTTTACATGGTATGTTCTGTGTGTATATTTCCTTTATCTTGATAAATATTATTTATGCATTACCGATTTTGTAATTTGTTCCACTATTAATGGCCAGTTCACACATGTATTTTCTTCCCATCAACTTTTACAACATTTTTTTTTTCCCCTCACAGGGCAATATCATTTCAAAATAATGCCTGAAACTAAGCATGGCTGAGCTATGTGGTCGGAGCTAATTTAATACCAGCCGTTCAAAAATGTCAATCACCCAAGTTAGGAATATAGAACATAAGACTGAAAGATATCATCAGGCTCAACCCCCATCCTATAAGCCTGTTAATAAACTTATCAAGCAATATCTTAAAATATCTAGGCTTTAAACTAATTAAGTCTTAAAACTCAGGTGGCTGAGTAAATTATATCTAATAGTATTTAATGGTAAATTATAAGGAAGCAGCTTTCTGCAGTTTATCGGAGACACTATAAAATAAGAGAGGACAGGAAGTTTACAAGTATTTCTAGGCTTCAGGTACAAGGTGGGAGACAGTATTTAGGAAAAAGTAATAGAAATAATAATATGATATTAACAGAGAGACTGACTTTCAGTAGGAAATTCAGTAGGAAATGCAGTACTGTAGTGTTATTACCCTGTGCAGCAGTCCTCCAGTAGGTTGTGCAGGAAGTATCAGTGCATGAGAAAAAACTCTAGAAAGTGTACTGTACAGAAATAATTCTGCATAGATGGGTAAAGGTAGTACTTCTTTTCCACCTCTGACTTCTATATGAGAAACAAGCGGGTTATTAATGAGAGCTCAGGTGCCTTCAAGGCCCCTCTAAAATTCCTTGATTTTGCTTAAAACAAAAACATTACAACAGTGCAGAGAATTAAAATGTAACTCCGTGATCATCATTGTAATTAATTGGGGTCTTCTTGCTGACTTCAATAGGTGTGTTCCATCATGTCCTAAACACAGAATTCAGATAGAAAACATTATTGCAAGATCCATGTGTTCCAGCTAAAACTGACTTTAACTGGTTTTTCTTCTTCATTTATATACAAGGACTCCTTGGCCCTGCTAAAAGAGATGCATGGTTGCAGTTAAGAGCAGAGATTGAAGCTCTGACAGACTCCTGGTTGACAAATGCACTTAAATCATTATCAATTATTAGCACAAGGTATGTATTTATGTATGTTCTAAGAACATTAATATTATTATTATTATTTATATGATTATCTTTAGTACTTCAGCAGAATAGCTTTCAGAAACAACCCAACAGTAATTGGATAGAGATCTTATTTGCTGAGTAAACAGATTTCTACATCAGAGTCCCCAGCAGTTATTAGAAACTTATGGAAATGCTTAATACAAAACCTTTTGAGAATTGTCCTATTAATATATATATATTGATACATATTTGGAGTTATTATAACTCTTAAAATTATGATTTTGTGGAATCCATCTTCAAATTCCAAATTTATGTTTGCAATGTTTCTGTATTGTGTGAATCTATACATGTATCTGTGCACTGCACAATACTATAGTGCATAAAAGCCCAGAAACCAAAAGTGTTTCTCCTCTCTCCTTTCCCCCAGACATAACTTTGTGTACATATGTGAGGTCTGGGGTTTTTTTAAAGAAAAAAATGTTATGTTAAACCATAGTAATTAGAACTTAGTATTCCCTCCCCTAAGAAATAATTGTAATCATTGTTTCTTAGAATGGACAAAACAATAATAATATAAACTCCCCTTGCTGGTTTTATAATAATGTGTTCACAGAGCAACCACATTCCCTCTGAAATAATCAGTAATATAAGCATAACAGTGTGGAAATAAAACACATGATTCTATATTGCCTTGTGTTTCAAAATAAGCATGGGTTAAAAGAAGAATTGATTTTAAGTGGGGGAAAAAACAAAGCTGGTAGAGTAGAAAGAACTATTTTAAACATGTATGCATTTTTGCAGACAGCAAGTAAGGTGGAAAATTATTACATTTTAGCAGTATTTTTGACCAAAAGAATAAAAATGATAGCAATGCAAGTAATTTTATTGTAGCCTACTTCTGAAAGTATTATTCACCCAAAGTTCAAAAATTGCATTTTGAAATTAGTGTCCTTTAAGCAACCGGAGGTGCCAAGAAAAAGTTTCTCATTATATATAGAAGTTAAGTAAACCATTCATTTTGTCTTCAAATATTATACATTCCTCATAATGGATGTATAAAATATGAGAGTAAGAGCATGACCCCTGTTTTACAGACAAGAAATGATAATGCAGTGAGGTTGCCTACCTTGCCTGAGGTTGCACATAGAATCTGTAGAAAAGCCAGAAGAAGCTGCCACAAGTTCTTAGTCCTAATTCTGTCATTACCATATTAACTTGAATACAATACAATCCTGAAAATAAGATAACCCCAATAATTAGATTCTGTATATGGAAAATTTATATGCATAATATAACTTTCCAGGTAGAGAATCTAATTATTGGAGCTTTCCCTTGAATTTTTCCTTCTTCCACTGCAGGGAAAATAAATCTGAGGGGTGATCAGGTGGCCCCCTTGCCCTCTGCCCTCCCCAATTTCTTTCCCCTGAAGTTCCTCCCCCCCCTTACTGTCAGACCCTCTCCCTGAGCACATGGAAGTGAGAAGCAAATTTTTCCCATTTTACCCTTTTACCCATGCTTCCCAAACTTTACATTATCCCCTCAAAGACAAGTTACAAGCGATCTTTTACCCTTTTACCCCTCTCACACTTTTTCATCTAATTGATCATTAATAACAATTAATTGTCAGTTTGAGAAGTGTGTTTGTGTTAGCAATACTGGAACCTAGATTTCAAAAGTAACTGGGGATTTGAGGTATCTTGTTTTTTAACATTCTTCAATTCATCTTAAAAGGATAACATTTTCTTAGTGTGGGTATTGAATCCTTTCTGAAAATCATGCTAATATACTTTGTCTAAACCACTATAAGCTTTGGACAAAGGATCATACTTTGACAAAGGATTTATAATGAAACATTCTTGATGCTAGTGGTGCAGAGGCCCTACTACTAAGTGAGGGTAACGCAGTTGGTTTGACAGCTAACATTAGCAAAGCTTGAAAGCCACCTTCAGTGCCATGTTTCTGGTAGTTTAATAAAGTATTAACTAAATCACTTTTTGATAATAGATTGTTACATAGATTCAAACTATTTCTCTCCCTTTAGGAGTAACTGTGTAAATGTTTTGGTAACTACAACCCAACTTATCCCAGCACTTGCAAAAGTCCTGCTATATAGTTTAGGAGGTGCTTTTCCTATTGAAAATATTTACAGTGCAACCAAAATAGGTAAGTTTGCATTTTACATTCTCAAATTAAACTTTTTTTTTTTCATTTGTACTAGATAGAGATGGATTCAAAATCAGTTTTCTAGTATTATTAATGTTTAGGTAGAAAGTAGATTGTGCATTTCCTCCAGTTTTAAGATTTATTAGTGCTTTGAATGCTTGCTAACAAGAAATTTAAACTTCCATGTTCACTGTGGTTATTGCTAATCCCAGTACTTTCTTCACATTTATATGTTGTTACAGTTGTACAGTTGCCATCTAAATATATACTTCTCCCAGCAGAAGTTTTATCTTTTAGTTGTTAGTCATATAGTACACTGACCCAGCTTATTACATAAACCATCACCATTACGAGTTCTGATACCTAAATTACATTAAGGCTTAGAGACCCAGTTCAATTGTATTTTAAAATGAAGATCTTCATTTTGTAAATAAAACTCCAGCATCTAATATCATATACTAATTTATCATATGTGAGTTATTACTTATGAATATATATTACATGTAAACAGATATGAATAACTTCTAATATTCACTAACAAACAAGCCATTATAATGAAGACAAGCTGAAAATAAAGCCAAGGCGTGGGTTTTGGCAGGTACCTAAAGGAGTCAAGCACCCAGCTCCCATTGTACTCCAGCATCTTTAAGTACCTCTGAAAATCCTCTCTGTAGTACACAATGTGCAAATAGAGAAAAATGACTGATGTTTTCCAACTAAAAATGCTTATGCCAGCTAAGTCAGAGGACAAACCTAGTTCATATTGGCATCTAAAGATCTTCCTTGTGCTACCTAACCACTGGAAGTCATAGCTCAAGCCTAAAATCTTGTTCTAAATCAGGACCTCACCATTTCAGTGCTCTGTGGCACTAACTTTAACAATTAATAATCTTGGAGTTCCCTTGCTTTTGTTCTTTTGTTCATTAGGTTTAAATACAAGTATATAACAGTTAACAATCGGTCAGAGATTTCACTGATCAACAGGGCCATGAATTGCATTTACAATAAGTTTTAAATGAAAATACACCTTTCCCCAACATAATGAAAAATACTTGCTTTATTATTTAATGAGCTGCAATGCTCCATGAGGTGGAAACGCACCAAAATATTATAAACTCAAAGAATTTAAGTAATGCAGATATCCTACAGTATTCGGCCCTCCATTTAATGGGCATCGTATTTCTGTCAGCCTGCCTGTTTTGGAGTAGACTGTACAAATAGCACTCAGGAGCACAGCACTGTGGAGCAGCACTCAGACTGCTCTACAAGGTGATGTGGAAGAGCTCTGTTTCTGGAAGATGGAATCTCTCAGGAAGGTGGAATTCTCCCCAGGCATGCAGGGGGAGTCTGTCTTTTTAGGGGTACAATTTAGCCTCTCTGCACACAAGGCCCTCAATCTACTCTCTTTTGAATGGGTTATACTCTGGGGGTGTCTGAACAGAGTTGTCTTTACACACTCCTGAACACAGGGGCTATAATTGTGGCTGGCTTTTACATTCATGGCAATCTGGTCCTCATTCATCAGTTCCTAAATACAATGCTTGTCCTATTCTTAAGCCTCCTTTATTGTCATTGGCTTAGCCTGCTTACCTCTGCGCCTATGTAAAAGAGGCAGATGTTCGAAACCATTTCCCTGTAATGTACTGCCTTGGTTTGTTGTTGTTAGCATGCCCCTCATCCCATGACAGCTCTTCCTCCTGCCTTGTTATTCACAGCAGTAAATGCAATTTAAATGTAACTGCTACTGTCCCTGAAAAATTATTATTATAATAATCTGGAAACATTTAAATTCAATCTTCTTTTGTTTTTACAATGCTGGTAATATCAGCCATCTGTTCCAGCCCAAACCTTTACCTTGGTGGCTTTTCCATGGGGTTAGAAAAGAGATCTAATATCAGATAAAGCCGCTTAGCCTGACCAAAGGAATTCAACTGCCTTCTCACCAGTTTTAGCTGTGAAACAAGCCAAAGGCTTGGAGCTATAAAAAAAACATGCTGTTCAGTAAAATTCACTTAACCCTTTGTTGAGCTTCAGGATAACTCATGTGATGGCTTGAATAAGCAGTGCATTGTTTTACAGGCAAAGAAAGCTGTTTTGAGCGTATAGTGTCCAGATTTGGCACTAACATAACTTATGTTGTGATTGGAGATGGCCGAGATGAGGAGCATGCAGCTAACCAGGTAACTTCACTCTGAACTCTTATCTCATTTATCTTCCAGGAAAAGAAAGTTGCTTTGAACGAATAATGCAAAGGTTTGGCAGAAAAGTAGTATATGTTGTAATTGGGGATGGTGTAGAAGAAGAACAGGCAGCAAAAAAGGTAACCTGTCTCATGAAATGTTGGTGTGATACATAGCTACTAATGCAAGCCTTTCTGTTTGCATTTCCATTAGTGTTGCACAATGGCAAAATGACAAATATTTTAAATATAGAGATGCAAGGCAACAAGAGCATGTTAAGGCCAACACTCACATTACAATAAACCATTTGGATTCTAGCATTTGCTTTCTGATGATGCGGAAAAGAAAAGTGACAGAAAAAAAAAAGGTATCTTGACAGGAAAAAAAAACCCGTTTATTTAATTCCAAGGAAATTAAACATAATTTTACATGAGAGATACAATAAAGTGAGGGAGAGTTGATTTCTTTTCTTTTCTTTTCTTTTCAAGACACATTCAGGAACCAGAGAGAGAGAGAATGGAGAAAACTGGCAAAAGTATTGTGTCAAATTTCAATTACCACAAAGGCAAAACAACCTATTAAAATATTACTAAAGGAAAACTGTTTCATTTTAAAATATAATTTTTTCAAGAAAGATACAACTAAAAAGAAATAGCACAAATGTACAGATAGAAACAGTTTCTTTAAAGTAAATCAATAGTTTATTTCTTTCACAATCAGTTTTCCCAATCACAAAACTCATAAGCATGAAGTATTAGCTAGTAAGTTGTCATTATTTTGAAACAGAACAAATTGGTAATCTATGGAAGGCCAGCACATTCCACATGCCAGCATAACTCCCAGCAATGTGAAAAAGTTGTACTTGTCATATTATACTTTATGTCTCCTGCTTCATGACCAAAAATACTGACATCAGACATCAACATTGAAGATGGCAAAACTAAAAGCTGTCTAGTTTTTGGTGGCTGTTCTAGGTTTGTTTTACCACCTCAGCTACAACAGGAACAAATCAAAATGCTCATTCCAAATGGTTGCTTATATTAGGTGCAGTACTGGTGATGGGCCTCTTATAATCTGTGCTAAATGCAGGTGGTTGGATTTTTGGTAGTTTCCAGTTGGCATGCTTTTCTCTAACTGTAGTTGTACTTGCATGAACAAATATGGTATTCAGAGGGATGGACAAACACAGCACTTTACAAATAGATCTGAACTTTACAAAAGTGAGGTTCTTACCTCATTCTGGATAGCTACTGTATAGAATATTAATAGAAGTACCCAGGGCTAGCATGGATAGAACCGTAAGTCACTAAACTGCATCTACTAGCAACTACCGTGGCTGCGTGTAGCCTGAATCATCTCTTTTAAACCAGTATTTTCATATTTTCTCTCCTGAGCAGTTTTCCCCCAGCTGAACAAAAATGTATGTTCCTCTCTATTGAAAAATGCTGATGGCCCTTTAAACAGTCACTGAATATTTTGAACAATAATACATGAATACCAAAAATAGAGATGCCCTGTTATCCTTGATTTTCTAATTAAGTCCATGCTAGCAGAAGAATGAATTGCCCTTGCCAGATGTGCTTCTTTCACTGCATTTGGGCCTATTTCCAGTGTCAATAGTAAAACCCGCTATCCAATGTATTTCCTCCTAGTTCTAAGAATTAAGCTCAGATCTATTTTAGTCTGATTTTTGTCAGTACCTAACTAACAAAGATCAGGCCACAAGCATAATGTTCAATATATACTGTTGTGAGTCAGGTTGGACTCATTGGTAACTTGCCTTCTTAAGTAAATGACAGAGTAGTGTTCATTTTTCCTCACCTTTTCTTCCCTAACCAATGCAGCACAACATGCCTTTCTGGAGGATATCAAGTCACTCAGACCTCTTGGCTCTACATCAAGCACTGGAACTAGAGTATTTGTAACTGTATTCTATAGTTGACGATCCTTTTTTATATTTCAAGTACACTGAATTTTTATGTGTGATTCGATGCCTCTGGCTTTACACATATGAATTGTCTTAAGAAGGGAAGAAATATTTGGAATGGAAATTCCAAAATGAAGAATTCAGATTGCTGAATGGAGTTAAAACGTTAGTGCTACATAAGGAAGCTCTATGGTCTTATATATGCAACGTTTTTAATAAATAAAAACTCTGGAGGTTGCTGGTACACACTGAATGAGCCCTAGCAGGAGTGAAAAAGGACTCATACTTGCAAAGCACCAACATGCGTTTTCCGACCGACAAGGTGGTGTTCAACAACATTCCTCAATATGGGATATATTCTCAGCACTGAGGTTTGAATCAAACTTTAGCCTACCTAACCCAGAAAATCTGAATTGGAATGCACTCAGACTGTATAATGACAATCCTGTCTAGACCTGTAATTTGTGTAAATTATTGATGAAGATAATTTACTGTGACTTTATTAGCAGCTGATTTTGGAAGTGGATGCAATTTTTGTTTTTTGAGGGGGTAGGGGGTGGGAGTGGGTTATATAATATTGTCTCTTTTATAAGTTTGGCAAACAGAATGTGCATAATGATGTGTTGTGCCTTAAAGACAAGACCGTGTTTGTGTGTTACAATGTAATTTTGGTTAAAAACTATGTAGATAAAACAGAAAAATCTTTGTGATAATTTTTGACATGACCAAATTTCAAATTCAAGTAATCAAAGAGCAGGGCTGAATCAAAAACATTTAAGTATTTTTTGCAGTAAGAAGAAATAAAGAAAAGTTTGTGTTTTTATTTGGATTCTGAATAATTCCACTAATCTTGTGAGACAGTTAAGAGGATGTTGGAAGCTGAAATGAAATTGGGGACCATCACCCTAAAGCTAAAGCAAATGTTGAACATCCTGAACACCGTTTCTTGATTCTCATATAAGAAAACTAAGAGCCATATTCATGATTAATCTACAGTCCACCAAAAAAAACACAAAACAACCCATAGAGAGCATCTGTAAACATCAAAATCCAGCAAAAAGGTATTTAACATGCAACAACTAATTTTAATTGCATGGGTCCAAGAGGGAAAAGAGCTGTTATGAGCAGAGATGGAAAAAATGCTACTCAAAAAAGAGGGAATGTAAAATCATCTCTTACAAGTCAGATGCATGGTTTTGTCTGTGCTTAGGATACCCAAACTGAGTCAAAATTGCTGAAGTATCAGACCTAATCCATAATCCAAATTATGATGCTGACCATTACATGAGCACATTCTATTTTGCTAGATTTAACAGTGGTTTAGTTGCTTCCCTTTTCTATTACATGGAAGAATGGCATTCATCAGCCTTGGTCTTATAGGATTTCTTTTTCACTGTTTTTATTGAACATGCATACTGTATGAATAAGAACTGCTCTAGTATTTTTAATTGGAAATTTCTGATTGAAATTTCAACATTTGGGAGAGGACAAACAGAGCTGAATTTCTGAAGAACCGTTGGGAGAGATTTTCCCTTTGTTTTACCTGTTTCTAACATAATCATTGTGGTCAGTGCAAGCAGTTCCCCACCTAAGCCACCTTCCTGCTCTCTTCATATAGTTTCCCAGATTAGGAATGGAACTAAGGATCACATTGCATTGCTGCAGCCCCAGCACCCCACATTTGATTCCAGTGCCATGAAGCAATTGGAAATGTTATCACTTCAGCGCTGTTGTGGAGGATGGCAATTGCTTTTCCTTTTGTTGATACTAAATGCGGAGACCCATGTGGGGTCCACATGCTCTGACGTTTTATAGAGATACAGCCATGAGAGAATGTGAAAGGCAAATGCCAGCGGCATCTGTGTAATTCTGGTATTCAGTGATGAAGTGCAGTCCTCCCACTCAACTGTGAAACCAACTTATACACCAGGTACTTACATGAAATGGCTACTTTGCTATTTTAAATTACATAGACCAGGGGTTGGCAACATATGACCCGCAGGCCAGATCTGGCCCTCGCTGTCATGGAACCCAACCCATGGAGCTGGAGGTCTTTGCTTGTGCCCACACCAGACCCAGGCAGCAAAGAGCTGCTGCCACTGGCACTTCTGCCCACCCACCTGGCTCCAGTCCTATGCAGACTAGATGGTTTTAGTGGCACGTCAGTGGTGGAGAGCTTTGCTTATGGGAGCCACAGGAGCCATGCCTGCACTGCCACTGCTTCTCCCAGCCCTCCTACTTCCCAGCTGAAGCATGGGCACAGCTTTCAGCTGGTGGGGAGCTGCACAGGGGCCAGGCAGCTTCCAGCTGTGCCTACACCACAGCTGCAGGAGCAGGCTGGAGGAGAAGTGGCAACGTGGGCACAGTCTGCAGATAGCTGGCTTTGGCACAACTCCACATCAACTGGAAACTGTTCCTGCTCCACAGGCAGAGAGCAGGGGGCTGGGAAGAAGCAGCAGTGGTGCAGGTGCAAGGAAAGCCCCCAGCCACTGACACACCACTGAAGCCACCCAGTCCACGTGGGCCGGAGCCAAATTGTTCTGGCCCACAGATTGTAAATCATTTCCACCCCAGCCCCTGATGTAAGCCAAATCACATCTCTGCAGGTAAAAGCATGGCCCCATTAAAGTCAATAGGAATACTCCTTTATAATGAATTCCTCTGCCTCTGCTGGAGGTTTGTACCCAAGTCATTCACACAACAAACTAATGTACAGTTTTCATTTGGTGTAGATGAAGTATACAGTCATCATGCAGGCCTTGTCCCATTGAGACACCTATGTACATGAGAAATACAGTATGAGGATTCTTCTTTCCCTTCTTGAAAGATTTCTATGACTAAAAAAATATTCAAGTATTTCAAGTCTGGTCAGATTTGGGCTTGAGTTTAAATTTTATGCGAAAGTCCATTCTAAAACTTACAAAAGGGTTTCCTTTAAAAAAATCCCAATGGGAAAAAAGTTTAAAAAAAATAAACCCACAGGTAGCAGCAGTTATAGTGTATGAGAACCTAAAAAATAAACTAAAACTAAAAATGCTATTTTGATATGGTAAATGTGATTATTTTCATTTTTTATAAGTGAAAAAGTTATTGTAAATATGCTAAAGACCATTACTCTTCAAATGACTTAAAATTTTTCAGGGTTCCTTTCAAAAGTTAGTTATAACAACATACAAATAACCCATAGACTGCCATTGATTTTTTTTTTCAAAAAATTGCACTGGCCTTATCGAAACTGTAGTTCAGTCTACGGTTCAGTGAGCAATATGTGTTAATTCTGGAACCTTCTATGTACCACCATAATCCAACCTTAGCTAATTTATAGTTTTTTGAAAATGTACATAATTTTATCCAGTTCTACATGACACACCAAATACCAAAGTCCTGAAAAAGAGCTGTAATTCCTTGTGTACTAATATACATACTTTGATGTAAGAGCAAAGTAGTACGTACAACGTCTTTATACATAATCTCTTCATGTGCTTGTCTGCCTTGGATGCAGAATTTATTATAAGACTTTCTGCATGAAAAAAAGCAGAGGAAAATAACTATAGTAAAATCAAACTGTTCCATGTGGGCATGATTGAACCTAAGTTGAGGTTTGGTCATTTGGACTTTGAGTGCATTTTAATTCAATGTATATGAACTATCATACAGTCAGAAACTGCCTTCTCTTTAACCCCTCCTGTAAGATGCAAGATGTCATGTATGCAAATACTGTGTGAAATTAAAATATAGAATATCATGCCTTTTGCAGAGACTGTAGCATCCTAAAGTGAGTACAGTACTTTAACATTAGGCACTGTTAATGTTGAACTTGCAGAATATAAATAAGTGCAGTTCCATTCAGAGTAGGCAATAGCTTTCACAACTACAATACAATATGGATAACTTAGTACTGTTCAGTATAACGGTAAAGCAGTAAAATGAAATCACTTTAGGAATACTTGCAGATCATGCAGATAGATAAAGGTGATGGCTGGCTCCCAGAATTGGATGTTGTTAGTGTTCAGTATGAGCAGCAATACATGCGCCCAATACAGGTGCAAAAGCTTGTTCCAGTGTAAGCACTGACACAGGAGATGATTCCAAACCAAAATCCTGGATGCAAACACTCCTGATCATGGGTAATTGACATCCTTTTCAAATCTCAACTTCCAAAGTTTGTAGATTTGGCCCATTTTAAGGAAACTGTAGGTTCTAGCTCTGAACTTAAATCCAGATCCAGGCTTTTGGTTCAGGAGTCATCTCTACTTTACATGCTCAATACCAAGAGTTTGGTTTAAATGAATATGGTATTTAGTATCTCTGAAGAGGAATTTAAGTGACATGAGCCAAAATTGCGTTTTGACTCCCAGCATTAATCGCATTTTGGAAATCTCATTGAAGAAGCCAAGGATCTCTGTCATGTATTAGCAAGTTATAGTTTATTGGGGCCTACGTAATTTAAGAAAATGTAAATTAATATTAAAGCTTGTAAAATATGTACATCTTTACTATTTCTCAATAAACACACTCAGAAATGTTGTCATTTTCTGCACTATACCATGCTTCAAGAGTTTTGACTTGTGTTTGAAATCATTAGCACACAATTGTCTCTGTTAAGGGCTAGGATCTCAGTCATTGAAGATTATTATTTTTATATGCTCCTTAGACATTCACTTTGTTACCTGTAATATTTCCATGCTAGTGTTTTCCTTCATCTAAGGGCTTCAAAATGTTTGGGTGGGTCAGGAGGCATTCAGCCCCCTGAGAGTTCCCATTGTGGATACTACTTTGTTCCTACTTCTTTATGGCCCAACTCTGCTCAGAAACATAGAGGAACTGGTGACCTTGGGATGTAAGGGGCAATCACTCCACAAGAGCTTGCTGTCATCTGAATTATAACCTGCCCATGGCACATCCCACGGAAATTTGCTCACTCTGCTGCAACATGAAGCAAAGGAACAGCAATGGCATAATATTTTCTGAAAGAGGTGGGCTTGGATGTATTAAAAACTGACTATGAGAGAGAGATGGGTTTAAGTTAAGGGTCTGGTCTTGCAATGATGTTTCCCAGATTCAGAAACTCTCAGGTTAGGAGGTTCCACTTATGGGCTGTACATTTTTCCTAAAAGTCAGGTCAAAGCTTGTCTTCCCCAAAAATGGCTAATCTCATTTTATACTCTCTACCACTCCTGTCCATTGAATTTTCCCCATTTATCTCTGCCAGCAGTTTTCCTCAGAGACTGGTCCTACAACTAAATGTTACCCAATATGTGTATTAAGAACCTTGTGTCACAGGCTTGGGAACCCAGTGCCTAAAAGTCCATGTGGCTGGGATAAGGCTCTGCTCCCAGTTTCTCCACCCTGAACTCTGAAAAGGGTGAACCAGAGAGAAAAGTGTTGTTGTAGTCTGGCTACAAATAGACACAGTGTTCAAGTTAGGAAGATACTCTGCAAAGTTGGAGTAAAGACATGAAGTGGCTAGGGGGCACTGAGGAAAAGGTCAGAGCAGGAGAATCTGTGATGAGGTATTTAAGTTGCAGAGTAATGCACAAGAGGTAGGATGATGATGGAGACACTGATGGGAGCTAGGCAGTGGGCCAAGGTATGAGGGGAGTGAGGTACAACCAGAGAGGGCCTAGATCTGAGAGCAGAGTGGGTTTTGATCCCCTTACCAAATTCCATCCTTGTACAAGATGTGTCTGAAGGACACTTAGCAGTTGAGTGAGATGATGGCAAAGACCACAGGGGCAAGGACTCTTCAGGTATAGTTCTTTGAAGAGGGGCTAGCTGAATATAAGGGCTGTAACCTGGAAAAGGCTGCTGTAATTTGCAGCTGGGGTCGATGAATAGCTACAAGGCTTAGGTGGCTATGGGGAGTTGGCAATGACCCGTGACCCTATTGGTTATGTCAGAAAGGGGAGTGCACAGTGCTCCTGGGGACCCCAGCCTCAGTGTTCTGGACATGTGACCTGGAGGGTTATATCAAGGGCTAAACTGGAAACCTCTTTTAGAAGTGAACCAAAGAGGTGGCAAGTGAGACAGAGAAAGGTGTGGTCAACCCATTACACCTTGGAACAAAAACTTTGGTATACTTACGATATTTGCTGGGAACACAAATTGGGAGGTACTGTCAATCCAAAGGAGGATTGGAATATAATGCAGAGAGAACTAGATAGCAGTAGGAATAGGATGCAATGTAAAAGAAAGTGAAAAGTATGTGTATTTACTCCAGGAAGCCAAAAGCTCATAAATTAGAGAGGAAGAGACCCACACTGGGCGCATAAGAGAACAAGGCACCATCTGTATGATGCAGTCATGAAAGAGACAAATTCAACTCTAGGGTATGTTAGGTGAGGTATTTCAGGTATAAAGAAGCATTAATACCATTGTGGAAGGCACTGATGGGAGTGTGAAACAGGGAAGAGCTACTTAAGTTAAACTTAATGGATAATATTATCACAAGAACACCCACAAGCTTACTATGAATAAACTTAGACTGAAATTTAGAAGAAGCTTTCAAACAATCACCACAGGGAGATTCTACAACAGACCAATGAAACCAGCCAATACTAAAATAGAGCTTGATCAGTTTATGAAGATTATATGACATGGTTGCCTACAACATTCCAGTCCAATGTTGCAATGTTCCCATGTATAGCTTGTGATTTGTAAGCAAGCCAGTTTTTAATCCATTTAATGAATGCCCTGTTAATGCCATATAACGCAAGCTTTCAAGCAGTGCTAAATCAAATGCCTTGAAGAAATCAAAGGCCTCTGGCAGACATGACACTTACGACACTATTAACCTGTTACTAGTGGCTTAAATGGTAACTCTGCCACATGTTCAGGGAATTAATGGCAGGATAAAGTGGGAAACCAGCCACAAAAATATTCCACAAACCATATGTAACATTTTTGTGCCTTGTTTCCATTGCTTCTTAAATTGAACATGTGGCACAGTAGCCTTGCCACGCTGCCCAACACCAGCTGCATGGCCAAATTTGGTTCACAGTTCCCCTCGTGTCCAGAGGCTGACACCCACACAGTGCAGCCCTGCATAGAGGTGCAGCCCTGCATAGAGATGCACCCTGCCCTTCCCAGGGTGCCAGGGCACAAGGAGATCATCAGCTAAGCCAAGGTGATAGTTTGCAGAGACCCACTGAGCTCACCATGACCCAGCATGGTGCACGGCTTGCCCCACACCTCCCCCAGTTCCCTTGGCCCGTGGTTTACCATTACCCAACATAGTTCCTGTCTTGCTCCCCAACTCCTAAAGTAGCTATGGAGCAAGGCACTTTACACATCCCAGCCAGGGGACCCTGGGATCAGAGAGCCTCTCCCTGATCCCAGGATCCCCATGTCCCAGGATGTCAGAAAACCATAGCCAGGCAGCACGCATTGTTTTTAAAGGTCCCAGTGCACTGTGATCCCAGGATCGGGGAGAGGCTCCCTGATCCTGGGGTCCATGTTTGCCAGAACTTTAAAAAACATGTGTGCGGTTGGACTGCACACATGATTTTCTGACACCCTAGTGCAGTGCCAGCCCCATGGCTGACAATCAACAGACTGTTCATCCTGACCCCAAACTTTCAGGGTTAGGGAACAGCCAAAGGACATCCTTACCAGGGACCACATCTACATGAGTAACAACGTCACAATCATTTAGTACTTGCATAACCAAGTACTAACTGACTGCCCAGTAACTGGCATTACTGTGCAGTAGCGTCCCCACACAGCTTCTGGGTCATGCTGACTGCTCAGTAGCTCGTTACTACTGTGCAGTAGCATTGCATCACATTTCATGCCTTGCAACACTACTGTGCAGTACTAACAAGCTACTGCACAGTAGTAATGAGCTACTGTGCAGTAAGCATCTCATGTAGACATGACTGGGACTTTTAACCCTACACCCAGCACCTCTGACTGGGCTGCAGGTACTGAAGATCAAAGTGCAGAATAGGAGAATATTACTCCCAGTGCAGGGAGCTGAAGGGCTTCCCTTGGCAGATGTTTGACAATCAGCCCCAGGTCTCAAACTGTTTTGACAATCAGCTGATTTTCTACCTGGATAGCCCCAGGTGAACTGAGGCAACCAGCTCTGTACCTAACAAATGTTTCATGATTTTTTGCTGTGATTAGTATTGTCCCATACGGCCCCACTTGTGGTGTACTATTCCTTATTGTCCTTTGACTGATATGAAGCTTTGTTCCCATTGAATTCTGTAGCAAAAGAACATGTTGGATACCATCAGGATGAGTGCAGGATACATAGATTTCAATAGGATTAGAATCAGGTTCTTAAATTGAGTGCGAAACAGGCCTCCATTTGCTTTGTCTGAATGGCACTATAGTTACCTGTGGCATTGCAGAAATAATTGTGCAATGGCTACATTAGGCACTTATCGATATGCTCCAGGAGGCAGGGGGGGGCGGGAAGGGGTCAGTGCACTTTAATTAGCACAGCTCTGAGGGTCTTCTCCAACATGCAGTAATTACAGCGCATTGGAGCAGCCTCCCTGCATGTCTATACGAGCGCATTATTTCCTATGCATGTAAAGCTTTAGGAAGGGGGTGATGGATTGGGGGTTCTTTTCTCCCTAAAGTATTTAACAGATTAGTTGAGAGCTAGAAATCCTTTTGACGGTGCAACACATATGTTCGTTGTGAAACTGGGATGCTGTCTTTTAGGGCAGCAGGGACTGAAAATGACAGGCATAATTTTAATTGTCACAAATAGGCAGTTAAATAAATTAATTCTCCAGAAAATAATAAACTGTTATGGTGAAACCTTAGTTACAATCAGCTGGAGTTGATTTAATCCTTTGCCATTTCAAATGCTAATGGGCTAGAGACGTGGCTTTCATTAAAATATACATTTTCCTCTGGAATAAACAACATATTTGATGGGAATGGGCAGCAATTTCAAGTAACTGAATAGCAAATGAGAAGGATGTCAATGAAATATTTTGAATGTGGTTTTTAACAACATATAAATATGTTGTTTACTTCGCTTCCAGCAAGTCCAATTCCTATCATGTTGATGAGAATTGTTGGCAAATATGGTTTGCATCTAGCTTGTTTCACCATAAGAGCTGATGCTTCCTTTGGTACTATGGTTCCTAGTCCTCTTGCAGTTCCCTCTATGCATAGTTGTTTTTTTTCAGAGGGAAAGAACTATTCATACTCTCTGCTCTGTGTGAAATGCAAAAATTATTTGTATGGGAAGGCTTTCAAAGTGCAAGTGGTATGCTGGTCCGTTTCCTTCCTTAGTCCCTTTGTGTATAAAGCACTTCTGCCATCTTGCAAGGATCAATGAAACAAACAATTTGAGAACAACTTCTTTCTTTCTAGTGCCAATTTATTATTGTTCTATGGGTGAGATTAGAAGTTAAAAATCAACCTTGTTAAGGATTCTTAAAACATCAAGGATCTCATATTCACACTTGTTAATAAGTGCTAGGTGCCATCTAGGTGTATTAAAGTTATGTTATTTGAAGTGAGGGTTGCCTTTGAGCTATTCTAAGCAGATTAATTTAGCCTAACTTTTAAAT